CCTCAGCTGTGCTGGCTGCCAGTTCTACACTATTACAAGTGTCCTCTCTGTCTTTTGAGGCTAGGGCACTGGTGATTAAACCCAGAAGCCCTTGCACACTACATAAGCATTCTGCCACTGTGCTACACTCCAGCCCTCCTTTTGTGTTTTAGTTTGAGACAGGGTTGCCAAGTTGCCCAGAATGGTGTTGGATTCTCTCTGTTCCAACAGCAGGCTTTAAACTTTCCATTCTCTACTCTGTCACCCAAGTTGCTGGTGCTACAGACCCGAGTCACCAAGGCAGCCGCGTGTTCTTTTTCAAATATCTTTAAAAAATAATTGTCCACCTAAATGCAGCTTGCTTGTTCATCGAGACCACTTAAGTAAGAATTTGATAGAATGTCCCCTTGGCTTTAAAACAATACCCAAATTCAAAGACCAGTGTAGCTTTCCACTTTCATTGATCTTTTCCAAAACAAAGTTGAAAGTCATCTAAAAACACTTGTTTATATTTATTTACTTAGGGGCAGGGAGCTGGCGTACCATGGCATGTATGTGGCAGTCAAGGGGTAACAGTCAGAAAGATGCTCCACTCTTTCCAGCACGAGTGTTCGGGGATTGCACTCAGGTCATCAAACTGGTCACTAAGGGCCTTTATCCACTGCCATCTCATAGCCCTGGTTCACTCTTTCCAAACCATGATTCTTATGATATTGGTAATTCTCCTTCTTATGAGTCTTCAACCAGTAGAAAGGTTATGAAATCTTAGTGGCGATCACATGGAGACACGATTTGACATTAACAATGTGTCCGAAAATGATGCGTTTTTTTTTTTTTGAAAATTATTTCAAAATAATTTTTTCAAAATCTAAATGTCAGTATTATCAATCATCTCCTGGAGGGCATTCAGGACCCGAACATTATCTCATTTAATCTCCGACATTGCTCTTGCTTGGCCACCCTCATTCTTGATATTTTTCTGTGAAATAGCTGAGTCCTTTGGGTCAAATAACTTGTTACAATGGCCAAGACACAGCCCCAAATTTAGAGTATGACTCAAGAGGCAGGCCACAGATGCCTTCCAGTTCCCACAGCACCGTCGTCCCCACTCCTGCTGGCATGCTGCCCTCTGGCCATACCCTGCTCTTTCTGGATACTCTGCCTGGCTCCGGCTGCTGCTGGCTAGAACTCCACTCCTTGTCTGAAATGCTCTTCTCTTTCCTGATTTCTTTCTTTTTCCTTCCTCCTCTTCAGGAAGCTCACTAAATACCCAAACTTAACCACCCCCACCTTCAAGCTAAGATGGAGGCTCTTTCTGTCTCTCATGCTGTTCTCCTCTTTCTTCATAGACCTGTATGTGGTGATTTCTTTTTTAATCTAGCTCCTTCAAGACACTGTGAATTCACTTATCTTTGTAGCAATAGACACATTAAGATGGAAGGCAAAGAAGAAGTAGAGTGAAGGTAGACCTCTTTGGGGATGTGATATAAGATCAGCATGGATTTGCCCTTTCATCTGGAATTTTAGGTCTTCAGTCCTCTACATTGCGACTGATGCTTAACTGTCATCCTGGGCGTAATAAACATTTGAAGTGCCTCCTGTGTTGTGAAAGAAAGATTGCATGTGTATTCAATGTAAGCATTGCCATCTGCTTTTAGAACTGGATCTTTTTTATTCAAGTTACGCTTTACAACATTCTCTTATGTGTCATTAAAGAAAAAAAAGAAGCATTATTTTATAAGATGGTGCCTTTGCTGCCCAGACTGATCATAAAGCCATTAATTATCTGAGTAGCTTGGATCAAGAAGAACCCCACTGCATTTAGCAGCCAAATGAAGCCTCTGAAGCTGGGCCCCCTTATCCTGCCCACCTAAAACACATGTTGGCACGTGACTTTCCATGAACAGCTGTCATCCACCCCATTGGAAATCTGAACTTGGCTTTTCATGTAGACAGACAATTTATAAGAAGAGAAGTGGTGGCAGCAAACACTTACCGAGCCCTTATCATCAGACTCAGTCCTGCTTCCAGGAAGCTTTAATAGGCTGGCAAGCCACGACCAAGAACCAAGTACAGTCTGAAACATGGCTGGTTATGCGTGGCTGGCAAGCAATGGCCAGGGACCAAGTACAGTCGGAAACATGGCTGGCTATGGTTTCCCAGCCAAGAATGCTTATTCCATAGCTGGAATCAAAATTTAAAGGAGCACCATTTTTGTGGCATGCAAATATTGGTAGAAATCCATAAATACAGTTTTTAGACCATGGCTTATGTGCTCAGTGCAGTGTCCCCACTGGCTTTGGGACCACAGCAGCAGAGGCAGGCTATAGCAACAGGAAGCTTCTGGGCCCCAAACCTCTAAGTTCCCACTGTTTGACCTCCTCCAGAAATGTTGGTCAGTGTCTCCTCTACTAAACAGATATGGGCATCAGCCCCATTTTCAGATAAAGAATTGGCAGCTCGAGGACGTTGAGACTCTGAAACCACAGAGTTAGCAAATAGAAAAAAGACTTTGACTAGCCAAATATTGTCATTGCACAGAAAGCAGCAATCTGTGTGTAATGTCCATGAATGCCCCTGTCCCCTTTGTTCACCAGAACCTTGGGTTGCCTACTCATGCAGCCAGACAGGCATTTACAATGACGTTTTACTTACTGGAAACTCACCCTCTGCCTGACATTGGACAGCATTTGAGTAGATGTTCTCGTCTCCTGTCCTTAAAATGGAAACAGAAACCATGAGGTCAAATTACTTTCTATGGCTAATGTGACATGTTATTAGTTCAGAAGGCAGTGGTTCTACTGTGGGTTTGGGTGAATGCTGGAGACCACAGGGTCTTTTGCCGCAAACCTCTGTTCCCATGATTCATGGAACAAAAACTATGTGCACCCACCATTCTCCACCAGAATGTGTTGAAGTTATCTAGCAAAGCAGTCAGTTACACTATATTGGCTTCCTTCAGTTAGTTACCCACAATACAGTGAGCCTCTCGTACATGTCTGCTAGTGTGTCACACATTAGCCATAGAAAGACACCAAAGGGATCAAGCATAAAGACCTTTGTTGTTCCAGTAAACTGAGAGCCACTTGGGAACACTGCCTAGCCAGCTAGGTATCTCAATGAATGACTCAATTGGAAAGCACTGCCCCCATGGACTTTGTAGGACCCTGCTTGGGCAGACAGTGGACAAGTCATTTTATATGGAATGAATTTATTCTAGGATTCCAACCCATGAGCCCTCACATCAGAAGTGAGGTCAGGCTCTTCTTTCTTTTGATGCCTGAGGGAAACGCTAGAAGACAGAAGACCCAAGCTGGAGCATGTGTTAAAAGTGCCATCTGCATCAAGCTTCAGTACAGTTTTGCCCCAGAAAGAGAGGCTTAGAGAAGCTGAAATGTCATGTTTCTAAGTGAAGCACAATGGCCTCCCTGCACTTCTTTGTGAAACTATGGATTAAATAGAGGAGATTCTATTTTACCCCAATTTATTTCTGTTAAATGGGGAAATTATAAATTATTTTTTAAGGCAGGCTGGCCTGTCACTCACTATGTGGACCAGGCTGGCCTCAAGTTTGCAGTGATCCTCACACAGCTGCCTTCTTGGCCCTGAGAGAAGAGGCATGCATCGCCATGGCCTTGGACATTTGAGGGTTTGGGTTCTTGTGTCTGACATTGTTTTAGGAGAAAACTCTCTCACTGTAAAGAAGGAGAGGAAGCTGATTCTTGTTCCACTTAACACCAATTTACTCCAGATGGAAGGCAGAGAATGGAAAGCTATAAAGCATGTAGAAGAAAACACAGGAGAATCAGTCTGTTCTAGAAGTA